AAAAAAAAAAAAAAAAAAAAGATAGATAAGAAGAAAATATCGAAATCAATGATAATAATAATTAATAATAAATAATATTAATAGTAATAAATGCAAGGAAAAAGAAAAAGAAGCGTATCAGGAAAATTAAAACAGGGAATCTGGTTTTCATTTGATAACCTAAAAAATTCACCGTTTGAAATGAACACACCTGTCGTGAGCCGTGTGGTGGAAAATATGACCGTTGTAGACGCTCCTATATCTTTCTCAATTCAAACAAACCCATCACCTTCAATAAAATAACAAAAGGGAGGCACAAGAACACACTATTTCACCACTCATTGAAAAACCATGTACTCTGCTTCAACAATGAAATCCATGTACAAGCCTCCACTTCCAAGATCTCCATCGCGTCTTCGACAGCCTCAACCCATTCACTCATCAAACTCTGCCTCTCTTCAAACCCCACCAGGTTCTTCTTCTTCTTCTTGAAACGCCTCAATATTTTCTTCTTTTTTATTTTCATTTTATTTATCTTTTTTGAATTTGAAGCAGGTTCTTTGACCAAATCTCAGAAACCCCTTCTCTCTCCAAAGATGCGACCCGAATACCGCACCATCTCGTGCGAGTTGCGGGCTCTGGCTAAGATGGTTCGCGACGAGTTCAGCAACGTGAATTCGGACCCGAGTGCTAACTCTGGCGGTGCGAACCCTAATGTTCTGTTCGAGAGAGGGAGATTCTACGACGAATATTCGGCGAGAAGGAACGAGAGGCTCATGAGAAAGAAGGGAGTGGGCTCGGTCGATGAATCTAAGGTTAAGCCTGTTCGTTCTCTTGGGGTTACGGTGGAATCTGGAAAGAAGAGTACTGTGAGAAGAAATGGAAATTTGAGAAAATCTATTTCTGCTGCTTACTCTACTGGTATGACCGAAACACCAAGGTATATGCTTAGAAGCATGACCAAGGAGAATAAGAAACCTCCTCTTGCTGCAAAATTTGACAAATCTGTTGTCGCTGGAGAGAAAAAGATGGGAACAAGAGCACGAAGGATATGAAACCGATAGGGTTTTATTTTATTTTTTTTTCTTGGAGGGGAAAGATTGAGAACTCCATTTAATTTGATGTTTGGGGTTGAATCTTGTTCTCTATCTTGGTTATAGTTTGCAATTTTACTTGCCAATGAAACGTTCAAGTTTATTTGAGATCATTCTCTTTATAATTCTTACGTGATATTAGTATGTATATCCGTGATCTATGAAATAAATTTTTTTTCTCATTTGTTTAACAATTTACAAATTATCCCTGTTTTATGCTTGGCTGGGATTTGCAAATTACTCTGTTTTCCGCTTGACTGGGATTTGCTAATTGCTTTATTAATTCCGGATTCAAGAACTACTGAAGTCTTTTTGGTTTTTTATAGATGAAATCTTTCTCAGAGTGATAACAAATTATTTAATGTGTTGTTGTTTAGTAGTTAGCACTGATCACAAATGAACGAACAAGGTTTTCTTATTTTCCTTCTAAAAACCTTTCAATGGTATTTAATTATTTTTTTACTGATTTCAAATTTTTGCTTTCGTTCACATTTCATGCCTGTAACGTGCATATAATTGGTTAAATTAACAAGCACAAACAATGTGTTTGTCATGAAGAAAATAGAGAGAGAGCGAAGAAAAATATGTGAAAAACAAGGATAAAAATAAGTTTTTTTAAAATAAACAAAAAGAAAAATAAAATAAGTGTTTAGTACTTTAATCTAAAAAAAACATTTTAAATGTGTGTAAATTTCAATTTTTTTTTCTTTCCTTCACCTCTCATGCCAGTAATTTGATCGATCAAATCTCAAGACAAACGATTTCAGTATAAAATTGATCCTTATTCCTTAGTCAAAATTTTCACCCTTTACAGTGGAAATTTTAAAATGCCTCCACCCACTTACTTTTAATATCTTTTGTTAATATTTCATCTCAACCAAGCTACCCACTTTTTCATCCTCATCTATTACTTCTCTTTTTTCCCCCTCCAAGAGTCTATATGATTCAAAAGTGGGAAAAAAAAAAGAAAAAAAAAGAGGTAAATGGAGAAGGGAAGGAGAAAGGAGGAATGAAATTAAAAATTTTGTTTAGTTGAAAAAAAAATCCAAAAAAAATTTAATAAATAGGAGAGGTGACATTTTCTTTACTCTTATAATTTTTAATTTATATTTTAAAACCCTTCCTCTTCCTCCAATTTTTCTAATATTTGAGAAGAGTTGAAATGAGATGTCGAAGTATTTTGCTCTTCTTTTCCCTCCTAAATATTAATCCAAACAAGAAAAAATTATAAAAATATCCCTCTTCCTCAACATTCTCCAATATATATAAATCAACGTATAAAATATTTTTATGATTATTTGTCAATTTAAATTAATAAAACGAAGTATCAAATAGTTTTCAAATTTTTTTAAAAATTTGAAAACTTGATATATGTATGAAGAACTTTTAATTTAATGATTGAATTGTTAAAATTTAATATAAAATGAGTTATTGAACAGAACAAATCTTAGTTGGAGTAAGTAGATCCCCCCTCTCTCTCTGTCTATATATATATATATATATATATATATATGTCTGTGTGTCTGTGGATATATATATATGATAATATTCTAGATAATATGATAAATATTCAAAAAAAAAAAAAAAAAAAACTCTATTGTCTGCACCTTCTAGATAACATGTATATACACGATGGTTTGACAAACAAACATTTTCCACCAATAATACCCGAAATCTTGCTCAGTCCATCCACCTGGATTCAATACTCTAGAAGCCAAGTAAACTCTATTATTCACAACGATAAAAGATTCTCAGTTGTCTGCATCGTCTAGTTCGTCTCGAACTACCTCACTTTCAACAGCTGCTGCTATTGTCTCTTCCACCTGATCAAGATTGCTGTCTTGACTTTCTACCGCATCAGCAATTTTTGCAACTTCACCATCTGCTACAGCCAATGTCTCTATCACCTCGTCCGAATTGCTAGCTTCACTTTCTATAGAAGCAGATTCATCAGGAATTTCAATAACTTCTGATGCCGCAAAAGTCTCTTCTACCACCCCAACCAAACTGTCATTAGTGTCTTCTTCTTGGCTTTCTTCCACTCTATAATATACCTTTGGAAATTTTCAAATTGAATTAGCAATTGGTATATCGAGGGAAGAGTAAACGAAAACTTTAACATGGCAGCTCAAACTTAATTTTGACATTTAACAAATCAACCATCCACAAAATAGAGATCTTCCTTTCATGATCATATTATTTCCAATTTCCCAGACAAAATAAATCAGCAATTCACATCGTTGTAGGGAAGAAAAATGGGAAAGCTAACTTTGCAGCTCAAATGTATGACTAAAAAAGCATATGCAAATAAACCAGTAAAAGAGGACAATTTTAAAAAAAACAGAAAGTAGAAATAAAAGAGATTTTAAAGGGCATCAGATAAACATACCACACAAGTACGGGCAGGGGAGAGGACCTTGAATGAATTGGGGCGATTATTAAAATTTGTTTCGGGGATTCCTGGTATGCCTTCTGGGGACGTGAAGTGATCTACATCGTGTCCCACCTAGGAGTGGAAAATAGTCAACCTCAGCAACATGAAAAATAATGAACACATATTCAGGAACCACTTAATAATAGCAACTGAGTTGAACTCTAAAAATCAGAGTCGTGTGTCAACTGTCCCCTCCCATTCTTCTCTCTTCCCCTCTTACATCCATTTTGTCCTTCACTATCACTCACGGAAAAATCAGAACAGTTATATCATTTCATAGTATATTATTGGTTTCATCCTTTCCTCCTTAGTTGTTCCCCAACCCCAACCCCATCCACACCCACCCCAATCTCACTGCTGCTCATAAGTGGCAATTGGCATGTAATAAATCATTAGATTCGGGCAGAATAGAAGGTTTGAGAGGCAAAACAAATTTTAATTTTATATTTTTAACAAATTACAAAAGCTTAAAGAGAACTTAGGGAAGTGCTATTTGCAATTTCAAATCAATCTTGGGGACGATAGGGTAGCATCCCCCTTGGCTGACCGCAGTTCCCTCCCTGATTATACTCATGTTTACCACCAGAGAGATTAGGGCTGCTTACTCTTCCTTGTCCTCCAAATTCCCAAGCATCACTATCCAGGGCAACTCTATATTTCCCAGGCAAGTCGCATCCAACTTTATACCTGCATATTCAAACGTTTCAGCCAAATCATTTATGGTTAACAGTTATTATTACAGTAATACATATAAAGAGACAAAACTTAAATGGAGTTTCTTAGATACTATCGGTGTTGTTTCCAATAAAAATTGAAGTTTTGCCTCGATAATCCATGTTGATAATTAATGTGAACTTTTATTATGCAAATTACCGAGGTAAAACTCTAATTTGATTGAAGAACAACACTAAAAGTACTTAAGAGTTTGTATCTAAGTTTTTTCCCTAAACAAATGAAAATTGAACATATATTTCATACCCTTCATATGTGTTCTCTGGATGAAAATTGAATACAAATACCAGATTTCCTCGCTCAAAGACTATAACCTATAAAAGAAGTAACCCTTAAGCAGTTAATTAAAACATAGCAGTTGTTAAACCTGAAATTAACTAAAGTCTCGGAGTAGTCAATCGTTTGTTAATGTATTTATTTTCTACAATCACTCATGTTTGAGAATTACCTCTTCATTATGTTCACAACACCTATGTATATTTCATTGAAACTTGAAAGCAGTTCTATTTTAATCAATCTTGATACAAGACAATCTCTTAAATGAATAGCAAGTGGCAAAAATCATCAAATTATGAATGAGTATAGTACAATCAATTGGGGGCATATTCACCTTGTTTTCATCATCTGTGCCGCTCACGATCTGTTTTGTTGATGCGAGGAATGAGAATTTATCATCAAGCAAGTTCATTGCTCTGTCAAATGCATTCATGAACTGCACAAGTTCCAAAAAATAAACTATAACATACTGTTTCTATGAGCAACACACTGCTAGAAGAAAAGAGAATAATCAGAGTTCTGCAGAGGGAAAAGGGGGCTCCACAAAATATGATTATAAAAACATGCTGAATGGCAGTGCCCATTTGATAACAATACTTACCCTGGCATATCAGTTTAACACAAAGCTAACACAGATATTCCAGTCGTAACAATAAATTTTAATCTATGAATTTCTGAAGTTGATGGGAGTTCAAATGTTACACATCTGTTTACACCATTTTTTTTATCATTTACAAGAAAATCATACATGTAAACAAGAAAATTCTTGTATTGTATCTTACAAATTTATATTTCCTTTTGTTTTAACCCAATTCAGCAAGGAATTAAGGTTTTCATAATTTTAACAATTTGAATAAAAGGTTTATTCGAGCACATTCAAATGAGGTTAATGTTCAAAAAATATACTTGCTTCATACATGCATAACAACAATTAAAGGACTCCATTGATACTGAAAATAATTAAACTTTCAAAAAAGTCCGAGAAATGAAGCCACAAAAGAGATATCAATATTGTGTCAAGTGAAGACATATGGGATCTATAAAGTATAAACAATAGGCTACCACCAAAAACAAATAAATAAATATGGGATCTATAACTCACCCCTAGCCCCCACAAAAGACTACCACCAAACACAAATAAATAAATAAAATATTACCTTGTATCTCAAGTGATCTGTATCCACCAAATTCCACTGACGCCTGCACTTCTCATAACTCCATCCATTGCCTTCTCTTGGGAAATCAATCCACTCAGGATGGCCAAACTAAAAATGGCCTCATGAATATAACTTAACAAAATCTAATACATGTTATACAACTATAGTAATAAGGGTGGGATGCTCATAAACACTTTACTTTATATTCAATAAAATAATCACAGTTAGTAGAACTATACATAACACAGTGAGCAGCAGTTTTGCAGGAAGAATAATGCAGTATACATACCTCATTGCCCATGAAATTTAGGTAGCCCTCTCCACCTAATGCCATGGTTATGAAGTGTATCATCTGCAAAAGATTGAGATAACAATGACTCTAGGGAAATTATAGAGCAACGATAATTATGTATTGTGTTAGCAGCTTTGCAATCTCATTTCTATATGAATGATGTAGTGCAGCAATCTTTATGACCAGATAAACAACCTTGTGAAGAGCAATCCCTCGCTCAACAACAGGAGAAGCATCAGCCAAGCAAGACATGCCAGAATACATTTCTTTATCCATTAGGAGAAATGCAAC